AGCGATCAGCGAGTCGGCTAAAGTGGAACGTGGGTATTCGGGCTGTTGGCAAGCAGCGATCAAGAGAGTGACTGAGAAACGGTTGGTGGGTGGACAAGGGAGAGGTAGACAAGGTGTGTGCAGGTGAGGGACTAGAATGGCATGCGAGATGAGGGCCACTTGACCCACATTTTTGAAGTTACCCTTCCTGTATGTTAAGTTCACTGACGATTAAACTCCCATTTGGCAGTGACTGTGATTCCACTCACCCCAAAGCATTTAGCATGGACTCAAAAGTAAAAATATACCATTATACGACAAAATATACTGGATACAGTATATTTAAAGGTCCCATGCCATCAAAATCCAACTATTTTCACTGCTTTATACATAACATACTGTGGGTCCAAATGAGTCTGTGACATGGTTTTAAGTTTGCCGATTGTATGAAATAACCAATAAAAGTCGGAGTGCTTGCAAAACCAGCCGATCAGATGTTGGCATTGTTGCGATGTAGATTGGCTACTCATTATTGGAGAAAAAGCCATTCACCGTATGGGTATGAGTCATCAACGCTTGGTGATTTCTGCTTCACACTGATAGTTAGGCACCAAGATATTACTATCTACCAATAAGCTTTAAATATTGAATATTAATGAGAGATCCAGGTGTCCGAGATGCCCGGTGTTTAACACTAACTGCAAAGAAAAACCAACCACTTATCTTGCTAATCTGATAAAAGGACATCATACAGGAGTATGAAAATAATAATTACGAAAATAATGAAAATGTTACAATTTCATCAATGGGCTGAAATAAAATATGGTACGTTAAAAATATTATAGACCTTCTAATGAAACTGTAAAATTTGAATCCAGATTTTGCATTTAGCATTAAACATAAAGGTAAAATCTTTTAACATCTTCAGAAAATAACACCACTAGATTGCGTCGTTTGCATATGTAGGGTCTTACTACATTTTCCTCCCTTGCATCCTTACGAAATTATGAATTGGATGATGGATGCACCTGTATGTGCTCTGGTCGAGTCTGAACACAGTGCAGTCATCATCTCATCCCATCAACCCACTGCCTTGATTTTAAACATCCTTCCTTCTTATACAGCACATTCGTTTCGACTGGGTTGCTGTTGCCAAGAAAACAAATGAGCTCAGCGCTTTGGTGCTTTGGAGGGCTCAGCATCATTCCAATGATAAGATTCAGCAGTCTGGTACCACTGGAAAAGTCCAGCACTGCAGCGGGTCAGACACGAGAAACGGAATACAAAATGTGTAAGTGTTTCATCGGATGAAAATGATGAAAGGTGTTACAGTATGACACTGGGATATTTACAAAATTAAAAAAAGAAATCAGTAAATTATATTACAGGTATACTACTTTTACAGCTGTTTCTTTCATCCCTGTGATTTGTTTGTGCTTTAAATCTTTTGTTGACTGTTGTCTTTGGACAATTGATTCGTGCATAGCAGAATCCCATACAGATCCCTCCTTTCATTGGTAGTCCAGACACAGTCCAGACTCCCGACTCCTGTGAATGCATATTAAGGCAGTTGTTTGTCGTGTGACCCCGGCCTTTCACATCATGACGGCCTCTTGAGAGTCTCCCATGCAGCAAGAGGATGTCTTGAAAGCTTTCTGGGACAGTGGGAAAAGACCCGAGGTGGCAAGGGAGAGAGAGGGCTTGAAACTGTGCTCATGGATTTATGTTTGATTTTAGGGCATGACAGCTCAGCGTCAGGACACTTCTCTATTGAGAGTTAAAGAAAGCATAGTATCCTCAATATTAGTGCCAGAAAGTGAACATTATTCTGATGCCTGTTTGTTCTTTAGTCCATGCAACACCATTCTAAACAAGTTCCAGGACATCCACCCGGTCTTTTTTGTGCAGTGCTGCGTCATGCTGATGGGCAAACAGCATCAAAAGCCTTCTTGGCAGAGGTGTTAAACAGCCATTAGAGCAGGTGATGAACGCATGGGGAAATGATGACAACAAAAATATACAAGTGAGGACATTTGCGGTGGAGCACATGCTGTTTTAATGGAGAAACAAGGGTTTGGAACCACTCAAGTAACACAAAATCAAACCTTCTTACCGTGTGTGGGAGTCTTGTCCCGCCTGCGCACACCTGTACTACGGCTTCTGTCATATTCAGAGCCTGGTGGTCCGTCTCCTTCCAAAAGAGAGAAGTACTGACCACTGTCCTGGTCCAAGTAGTAGCTGACAGCCTCTGACCCTTTCGAACCAGATTGGGAGGTCACACTGTACCGGGTGATGTCATCACATGAAATCAAACCCAACTCCTCCCTGAGAACATCACACCATTTTAGTCACAGCCCGCAGGGAGATCAGCAAAGAGATCGTTCGTTTCCAGACCCTCACCTGGGGCTGTAGAGTCCAGAGACAGGGGAAAGGATGTAGACATCCTGGGCATCCATTTTGGACATGCCTAAAGTTCCACCTGGTGTAGGCGAGGTGCTGGTAGGGCTGGTGGGGACCGGCTGTTAGGAAATAGATTAAAGACTGGTTGTGTTGTAATTGAGTCTCCTGGAGCACAAGTTGTAAAAGGTAAGGGTTAGATATTTTCCACCTTCAAAGCATACAAAAAAAAAACATTGACGGGTTCTCATCAGTTCGTGAATCGCAAACAAGTGACATATTTCCGCCCACACAGAAGCTGCCACGTTGTATAGGCTCCGACTATGCAGCCTCTCCCATGTTAGCTATTCTCTCATTTTGTTTCAAGCCTTTTTACACACATGGTTCTCTGTGTCTGTTTCTATGACAACCGCTGCTCTCACTGAGGGCAGAGGAACGTTTGCTTGACCTACTACCTCGGCATGACTCAAGGACATGTCATTTGTCATTGGGTCCGCCATGTGAGCAAGGATGCCTAGCTGATGTGATGTAGCTTGCATGTGAATTTTGAACCAAATACCATATACAGATCTACCGAAACAAGTATTATAAACGTGTAACTAGTGGTCTTTAGGAGTGTTCATTTTCATCTGCAGGCCTTATTTTTGCACTTTCATTTTCAGTCTCCCTCTGTTCATAGTCAGACCGCTTTCCAAAAAACGATGCAAACTAGTCAGGAAGAAACAAGGGATGTGGTGAACCGGGGGTGGGGGTGGGGGGGAGTAAATAGGTCAAAGAGAGAGAGAGAGAGAGAGAGAGAGTGAAAAAAGGCACAGACTGTTAGAGAGGAGAGTGACGCAGGGAGCTGTGCTGTAAGAGTGAAAATAGTAATTTTGTGATTACAGTCCAGCCTTAGGAAAAGGGGAAGTGGTGCTGGGACTGCACACTGAGCAGGATGGGACTTTCACAGCAGGTGACATTCCAAAAAATGTTAAAACATCATTTAAAGCATTTGGATTCCCCTGCATTCACTCCAAACTTGACACATCTTATGATTAAGCCCTTCACAAAGTGTTCTTCACAATAATATTTTTCCACGCACTATAATAATTTGTGGGTTTATAAATGTATTTTGGCGGCTTGGTGGTCCAGTGGTTAGCGCATCGACCTCACAGTGCAGAGATCGTGGGTTCGATCTTCCTGTGTGGAGTGTGAATGTTCTCCCCAGGCCTGCGTGGGTTTTCTCCGGGTACTCCGGTTTCCTCCCACATTCCAAAAACATGCATGGCAGGCTGATTGAACACTCTAAATTGTCCCTTGCTCTGTGTGCCCTGCGATTGGCTGGCAACCGGTTCTGGGTGTCCCCCGCCTGCTGCCCGAGGATAGCTTGGATAGGCTCTAATATCCCCCGCAACCCTTGTGAGGATAAAGTGGATTGGAAAATGGATGGATGGATGGAAAAATGTATTTCGCTGTAAGGCTAGAAAAAAAATCTTCTGAATATCGTCACTCAAATATCGTTGTCAACCATAAGCTACTGTAACCATAAAGAGAAGTTGAAATCAGTATAATTTCTGGAAACAAGATTATGTTCACTGGCAAAATGTATGGATTTCATTTTGAGTTTTCAAGTGTCCCTCATGTAGCTGCCTAAAATTGTACATAAGGAATTATTTCTAGAAACCTCTTCAATTGTTGTCAATATCCAAGGAGATAAATTTGATGGAACTTCCTAAATGTGGGTGTTTGGAAGTTTGTGAGAAAGCTCACGCTCTACTACCCACATTAGAAAATCTTTATTGGCCAAGTACGTGAGTTACTTAGAAGCTGAACTTTGAACATGTTTGCATAGAAAATGAATTTTACGTGTGTTTAAACATAAGGCAGCAGTGTATCTATCCAAATATACGTACAGCAGCTACAAATAAAAGCTGAAATGTTGATCTGCTGTAATCCAACATTAATCTCTTGTTGTCAAATCCAACAAACTGAGTGAACCGTTCTAATATTTTGGAAAGCGGGAGGACTTTCCACCATGTGCTTGTTGGCCAGCGTAGGGAAACACATTTTATTCAAGAGGCGACTAAAGCAAGAAAAGCCACTATTGCATTAAAGTGCAGACTGCGGAGTGTAATACTGCAGTTTCCAGAGGTAAAAAGGCACAGCAAAATGGCACACTAACATTAAGATACTGTAGGATAAGCGGTTTATGTAATGGATGACTACATGGATGTGTTTGTCAACACAGGCTGTCCAGCTACTATATTACCAGCTATCACATTACCTTCTTTTGACAATGGAAAAATATAAATAGCGAGTCACATTGAGTAGTTATAGGAAAAGGAGCATGCATACACATTCATTTACATGAATGTGAACTTTTTATTTTCTTCCATTCTGTTATTTTGCCAAAACAAGAGTTGAGCGTCATTAAGAAGCTGTCAAGTATTTCAGAATTTGACTTGTCATTTTTTTCCATTGCCATGAAAATAGTTCCAGAAAACTTCGACCAAGATGTTGAAGAAGCCTTAAATCATTACCTATTCGGCTTTCTTATTAACAATACATAACTCACACATACGTGTGACCCAAAATAGCAGGCATTTACAACCAGTAATTATTTATACACCAACGCATTTTACACATTTATGAAAATGGGATCTCCGACAATGAGTGGCACGCATGTGAGCAATGTGACAAATGTGCACAGCACACACAAGCACACACACACACACACACACACACACACACACACACACACACACACACACACACACACACATTTACACACAGAAAAAAAAACGTTGCTTTTGGCCAATACAAGTGGATGATAACGCTGCTCTTTTTCTAGCCCATTATACACAACACAACACAGCCACAGCCAAAAGCACAAAAAAGAGGGAGACAACACAGGAATGGGAAAGACAGCCATGGAGGGATTTGGACCTTGAATCACATGATCATTCAGGGACAAATTGTTTCCTTTTTGGATTTAGTCATAAACCATCAGAATATTTGCCACATTTGGGATTAACTGAAAATAGCAGGCATTTACAACCAGTAATTATTTATACACCAACGCATTTTACACATTTATGAAAATGGGATCTCCGACAATGAGTGGCACGCATGTGAGCAATGTGACAAATGTGCACAGCACACACAAGCACACACACACACACACACACACACACACACACACACACACACACACACACACACACACACACATTTACACACAGAAAAAAAAACGTTGCTTTTGGCCAATACAAGTGGATGATAACGCTGCTCTTTTTCTAGCCCATTATACACAACACAACACAGCCACAGCCAAAAGCACAAAAAAGAGGGAGACAACACAGGAATGGGAAAGACAGCCATGGAGGGATTTGGACCTTGAATCACATGATCATTCAGGGACAAATTGTTTCCTTTTTGGATTTAGTCATAAACCATCAGAATATTTGCCACATTTGGGATTAACTGTAAAGCTGCATGATTCATCCTACAAAACCAGGCTTATGTGTTCGATGTGAAGCATGTATGTACTTGCTTTACAAAGTAACATGAGAGCAAAGGGTCTGATTTGAGAAAACATTGTTCCGCATTGAGACACACGAGAATGATACATTTCACTTACATATACAGACAAGCATGCATCTTGTGATGTAAAGAAATGTGCGAAAACAGGGCATTTTCTGGAGTCAGATTATCTCCAGAAACTGCTGAGTAGAAGATCTTGCTTCAGATCCTGTAATTCCCAATGAATAATTAAAAACTGAAGTCTTTTAAAGCACGAACACATTTTAGACACTGCTTCCTTTTTGTGGTGTGGTCTGCTTGTGGTGTGTTTCGATTCCAACAGTCCAACCGATAGAACATCTCGTGCTCTTGAAACTGCTCTTTTTATACAACAATAAATGAATCAAGACATGTGGCAAACTTCAGAGTCAGGTCATGTAAGTCGAAAAGATTCGCGCTCTAGCCTCACTGCCAAGGCAAGATGCAGTATAAAGTTATTGCATTATTGCTCACAGACATTATTTTCTGTGCGTGGAAAGAGAATGAAGACACACTGAAGAACAGCACAGTTCTGACCAAAGGCCAAAGAGAAAAAGCCAAAGCACAGGCCATCTCTATTTTGAGCACAAAGGCTCCTGTATGGGAAATACTGTAATTAGACCGAAATTACAATACAATCTTTACTTTAAGGAGCGCATCAGAAACATTACAATGTCAAACAGAGGACAGAAGATGCGCTACCTGTCCATCCATCCATTTTTATCATGTTCAGGGTCACTGATAAGGTGACTGAAGACTGACAACCTGTATCAGTCGCCAGTCAGTCACAAGCAACATAGAGATACATGACCACACTCAAATTCACACCTGAGCAGGAATCGATTCCCCATGCTGACAGCTCCAAAGTCATCAGTGTGAATCACTACACATCCAGCAACCCGGTCATAAGGTGAATATGGCGTGTAACAATAAGGGAGTAGAATGATTCCAAGCGTTTGCAATAACAGTGTTGGTGGAATGTACCAGTACCTGCAAGCCCAGTGGTTTCCAGCGGACATTCCTCAGCAGAGCTGGAGTGGAACTCAGGGTATTCTGTGGCCTTTTCTTCAGCGTTAGGATAACTCCACATGGATCTTCTCTTAAAGCATTGACGAGGTTCTTCAACTGCCAGCCCACCTGGAGAGCACACAGCACCACATTGTGAGTAAGTCACATTTGTGCAAGATGCAAGTAAGTCTCAACCAAGACCCAAATTACTGTGAAAAAAAAAAGCAAGTCAAGTCGAGTTGTCGCCAAATTTCTAGACAGTCGAGTCAAGTCAATATGCGGTTCAATTGAGTCCTAAGTCGAGTCATAAAATCTCGTTCAGTCACAATTTACATTATTATATTACATTATTATATCATTATATCCATCGTAGAAAGGGTTCTGTCAGTCGTCATCTGTACCTGTGGGTAAAAAAACAAAAAAGGACGTTTCGCTTCTCTCACAGAAGCTTCGTCAGCGGTAGACAACCCTGAAGTCTCCGTGAAGACTCCGGGAAGTTGCTCTGCGCTAAAAAGCTGAGCGTGGCCTATTTGAGGACTGGGTGGGGATGGTTAGTCACGCCCCTATGGTGAAGAGGCCCATTTCACCCTCTCTGAACCGTGAAGGAGGTATCAGATTTAACCTGTCTCCTATTTACAATAACTTGTTGACCACCAAGGGACATAGACATGCTGATCAGGCCAACTGAAAGTAGCTATTCAGCCCTAGCCCAAACAATAGGCCTAATCAAGACCCAACGATAGGGAATTTAGAAATCAATGGGACTCGTCACCATAGGGGCGTGACTAACCATCCCCACCCAGTCCTCAAATAGGCCACGCTCAGCTTTTTAGCGCAGAGCAACTTCCCGGAGTCTTCACGGAGACTTCAGGGTTGTCTACCGCTGACGAAGCTTCTGTGAGAGAAGCGAAACGTCCTTTTTTGTTTTTTTACCCACAGGTACAGATGACGACTGACAGAACCCTTTCTACGATGGAACTTTCCTGTACGACTGAGAGCCTCCACAAGCATCATTATATCCAGTATATTAGAATATTAATATTTTTGGGGTGTGTGGTGTTGGCCTCTTTGATGGTCAAGTTAGACACCACTGGTACAGGCTTATAATGTGATTGAGGATCAAAACAGCTCTTGCTTCATATTTTGGCTTTTTGGCACTGTCCCCCGGCATGTCATATTAAAGGAAAGAATGACAAATTCAGAATGCAGCAAGAGTAAGATGGTACAAATTTGCTGACTTTAATCTTTCTTGAAGCTTTTGTGCAGTCTCTCTCCAGCAGTCACAACATTCGTCAGACACATGACTGACTACAATTGAATTTGAATTGAATACAACTTTATTGTCAAATGTGCTGTATGTGTAACATAAAATGGTCACAGTGACTGGAAGTGTCCACAGAGCTCTCCACAGCTTTATTTCTCACATTATGATGACCAATCTGTGTCATCCTGTTGCATGGCTTGCATTCTCGTTGGCTCAGATCAATGGACTGATTTCACCCAGCGTAGTTCAATAATATAAGCAGGCAGTCTGCTGCCACTTTACTGTCTGGCAATTCGGTTTTGCCATGGGCAGGGAGAAAGAAGAGGAATAATATTTTTTTTTCAAAGATGGTTAAAATCTTTGGAGTCTAAGACTGGTTGAGGCAAACTTTACTTTATTGTTGACAAATTCAAGATAAGATAGCAAGAATCGAAGGTAAGTTTAAATTTTGAAAAAGTCATATACAGTAAACATTAATTATTTACTTTAAATATGATCACACAGTAAATCTGTTGGTTTTCCTTCACTTCAGTGTTTTTAATCCAATTTCATCCATTCCATGTGTTCATGCAGGTCCATATTCTCACATTTTAGAATCGACTGGTTTCTGTGTCCATTTTATATCATGAAAACTGCGGATGGTATGATAAACACTGACTTCCTCGCCATTTTGTTTGTGAAACTGATGACTTTGATGTTGACTGTGGCAATTCAATGTCCTGAACGTATTTTAGAGTTTGCATTGAGATCAATTGTGCATTTAATCTTTAAAGATGCAATTAATATCATAAAAAAATAAAATTAAAATAAGAGGCTAGACCACCCCTGGCCACCACATAGCACAACCCTTGGCTTTATTTGCTCACATCTCCTGGGGGCCGAGCCCCACCAGTCCATAAAACGCCCCAGGTGGACAGAATGTATACACAGCAACCACAGAGAAACTCCCAAAACACACAAGGCGTGTTAACCAAGCCAGTTAGAAAATGTTCACTTTGCAAATGTGCATGGAACAGATGGATACATGGAGAGACTCACCAAAATAACAGCATCACATAAACTACTGCTGGGGTGTTTTTTTTTTTCTAATCCCAGGAGTCTTCATTATTTTCCCAATTGCTATTACCAGCACATAATTATGTTGCCTCTTCAAACAATCAGCTTTGGATGCAAGCAACTTCTAAATCTCATCTTATAAACAAAACCACCAGTCTTGTTTTGAAGCAGGTTTCATACAACAAAGATCCTACATGGATGGGCCTTTCTATGCAAAGCAGTCCGATCGTGAAAATGAATGAGTTCATCGTTAAAATTTTGTTTATTACACATAAGGAGCGCTGTGACAAAGTCATTAGTCATCATGTTTTTCTTTCTTCCTTTCTTCTTTTCATATGAATGAAAAAGGGCATGCTTCTCATAACCGCCCCTCATTTTTCTCCCCTCTTTTTCCTTTTCATCATCTTTCCTCAAGTTCCTCATTGCCTCCTCCTCCCTCGACATCCTTGTAGTTTTGCCTCACACACAGTATGCCCCGATTGCCTCATCACTCCCTTCCCCACACCTGCACCTCCCTGCGCTTATCTCCTCCCCCCGGGGTGAGGGATCAGAGAGATGAGGGTCTCACAGAGGGAGTAATGAGTGGTTGGAACTAAGCGCCCGGCAGGGAGCATTCTGCGCCATCACCCGGAGGAAAGTGAGGTGGAGCTGTCGTACGTAGCTCCCTCTCAAGTCAATGAGAAGCAGAAGGAAATACCAGAAGCTAAAGTAAAAGAACACGGAGGAGCACGCCAGCGTGATGGCACAACACGGGCA